TGTGTTGACATCTTTTCTTGGTATTGGTGTTTGAGCCGGTACAGTGACAGCACTCAACTTGTTGAAGGAGTGTACTAATTGCCACCCTCCTGTGGCCTTTTCGTATAGAAGGTCGGAGAGCTATGTGAAGAGGTGGACTCCATCACATGGCCGACTGCTAAGCGATATGTAATGAATTTGTCCAAAGCTAGTACTTGTTCACAAGGCAGTGGCTATTAATTCATGACACAGTACTTCAAAACCAGTTTCAGGTCGATTTTGTGACGAGTAATTTGTCCTTAGGTAACTCGCACGGGACTGCTTCTGAATGCACATCCTTTAATTCTATCACAGCATCGTAGAAATGATTTTTGTTTACGATTTTCACGATTAAGACGAATTTCGCTCAATCCAAGTCTTCTCATAGAGGACACTCTCGTCCAATGATGAGCTACTGAGAACAACGTCGATCGATTATGACTGATTCACTCATCCTCCGCGACGAGTACGCAGATCTGCTTGACTTTGTCACTATGAGGATACCGCAAAAATCTCTTTGTTTTAGCGGGGGGGGGCTATGTGATCTTCAAATTAAATTTTGAAGGCGCGATCAGATTAAGCGTATGGATACCTATGCTTGATCCGTCATTAACTAGGACATTCAATGTCTCTGTCATCTTATAAGATCTTATTTCCACTATTTGTCGGGAACTCATTCTCGCAAATCTAGCCTCTTGGGCTATTCCATTACCCTATTGACCATGATTGGCAATTGGTTGGTCATAATCTGGGTGTTGTCGAGTGATACAGCAACCTTGCCCGGGTCCGCTCCAAATGTTCGAGAGGTAAGCCTTCGGTGCTTCTTGCATTGTAACGCATTAGCCGTAATTATGATCCGCAATACAATGGTCAGTCATATAGTGATCTTGTGCAGTTGTATACGCGATCGAATAAAAAGTGAGGCCACCGCACTCACTCGTACTACATCCACATGGTGGTGGACGATTCAAAACGTTCATCAGATGGGCTTCTGGTGAACAAGCGGCGGGCATATCGACACTTCGTCGATGCCAGCTATATTTTGGCTTGTACCTTCGGGCCAATGTAAATCGAGTTAATATTAAATTTGTCCCTCAAGTCCAAGACGATGAAGTCAACATCGTATTGGACTTCTTACAGTGTAGATGAATTTCCTACTAAATACGTCATCACTGATGCGAATGCGCCTGCAGCCAAGCGTACCGTAATCCTAGCTGGAGGGATCTCTCGCTCGATGTATTTGCGCTTGCTATTGTCTAGCGGTTGGCGCCGTACAAAATTATTCGACACCCCATAATCGACTAGAGCTTGTATTGACATTTCCTTCGCCAATTCGATCTTTAAGTTAATGAAGGAAACCTCATCACCAGATGCACTAATATATATTGATTGCGTGTTGGAAAAATTATTGTCAAGAAGCCTGTAAATTCACTTCACAATGCTGGATAGTACGGTGCTCCACAACTACTGACCCTGACCGGTTTTTGGTCGTCCGTTTGGGTGCTGCATTTTCGCATCAGCTTCGGACCGACGCCTCGAACCCTTCTTGGCTGCCTGACGGTCACTGTTCCTTGCGGAACGTGGCACCGCGTTCGAGGCACCACATTCGTATGAATATTCCCTGGATATGACACCTATTGCATGCCTGCAATTTCTTATGTATTGTAGCGCTAAAGCTCTCTCTCTCAGCTTAACAAAGGTCCATCGGTTCTGGGACTCCGCTTTCCTGTCGCCTCGGGCAATGATAGGAGTTAATGCTCAAGTGAGCTTGTTGGACGCTGAAAAATCTTGCTCCGCAATTCGGATTGCATCTTACAGGGTATCGAATTTCAACCGAAAGAGATAGTTCCTGACTGTATTGTCTATGAGACGCTGCATAAACAACGTGACCAACGTTTGTCCATTCAGCGGATTAGACGTGATAATACTCTAAGGATGACGTATGTACGGAATTTACGAGTTTACAACTAATTTGCCTTGTATAAATTTTAGAAGTTCATAGCGAGCCCTGAACTCATCTCGCGGTAGTTCGAACGTTTGCCTAAGCACGAACTTGAATAATTTTAACGACTCAAAGAAAAATGGTCGTGTCAATTGTGGCCCAGAGCCCACGTCTTTGCAGCTTTGCCAAGTTCGATTAGGAAAAACCATCTACATTTGCTTATCGACGATGCGGCGAGCCTTTATGGTACCTCTAGTTCCACGAACTGTCTCAACATAGAATCTTCATCGGCTCTCCTGTACTTTAAGGTCTCAACCTATCAGTCTCTGGTCGCCTTGAGTGCATTAATCGGTGGTAGCAGCCTGCTTCTATCTCGACAACTTGAGTTTTTGATCTCACTGTTCTCTCAACAGATCTGTCTGTTGTGACCCTTGTTGATGAAGCACGATTACTTTTTCCGCTCGACGTCAAGTCTTTCCGTAATGAACTTGGCGATGGTGGCTTCTTGCCCGTCTGGCTTAAAGCGGACAGCATTGAGCATACAGCTTCTTGCCCTACCGTCCAACTCAAGCATTCAACAGCATCCCATTCATTTTGAAATAATCGGGAGTAGCTCTCGTGCATTAAACTGAAGTCTTTCGCATCATCACCCAAACTTCATATTCGTTGGACGGACTAAAAATTGCTATCAGGCGTAACGGGGCACCGGTCGCTTTTACTGTCACAGTGCAAGCTACTTACACTGAACAAAGAGTAAGTAGGTGCCTCGAGACTTCACGTACACGCGTCGTGCAGAGGAAGGTTTCAACACGAGAAAAGGGTAGAGCTGTATTCAGTCAAGTTCATCTCCTGTCAATAAATCTTATTTATTCTCCATTTAACTATATTCTGAATACGAACATGTACTGTAGCTATCTACTCACCACTCATTGCGTTCTTCTGTCGTAGCTCGGTTCAATTGGATGGTATCCTTAATCTTTATCGACCAATGAGCAGTGTATTACTTCCGCAACACACTATTACTTATTCAGCCAATATTGTGAGAATCTTCTGTGTGTCCTAGCAGAAAATTCGTACTTGATGTTTACCTTGTGTAAACTATCACGTAACGTAGCCACACCGTTACATGCCCCATAACTATTGCATACTTTTCTACCGAATTAAAAGCTGCTTGGCCTTTTGACGAATCAGAATCGGAGTGATATCGTGAATGCTATTCATATCGCTGCATGCAATAAGCATGCCAGATTTTCGCCTAATATGCGGGGTTCTTCTAGGAAGTATTCAATGTGATCACATGATAGACAGGGTAGCGTTACTTTACATGGCCACATAACTTTTGCAATAAAATCATGTGCTGTTTGTTCATTTGAAATTTTAACTCTAGTCTTTTGCGACCGTAGCAACGTCGACTTGCAGCTTCTTTGCAGCATACAACGAAAGGATTGCTCATGTGTGGGTTGCTTCCCAAACACGAAAATGATTTCGGCCAGGAATGGATGGTGTGTCCATGTATAAAATCTGCTGGCTATCAGGTAGACTCCTTACACTCTTATTTTGGTTTTCTAGGCGCTATGTTCACGCACATTGAGTCCAAACAGCTTCTTCACATATCAGCAGAAACGTAACATACGTCGATGAATAACCCTTCGTCGTGCTGAAGTGATTAGAGCATCCCTCATATGACTCATTCGGCTATGAGTGATGCCTCACAACGAGCCAAACGGTGCCAGCTTTATATGATTGTATCAAGCAGACATTGCGATCCACAACGATTCCACGTTGTTAGCCGATGCAGCGGCACAGGACTCGGGTCGCGTCAACTTTTAGAAATACTCGGCACCCGACGTTTCATTAGTAGAAGTGCCATGTGAGCAAGTGGTTAATGTTCTTTGATGAAGTTTGGAATCAGTGTAGAGATAGGTGTGGTTCGTGGTCACGAACGACGATAAAATTGACAAGCTGAACAGCGTGCATACTCCCGCAACAACAAAGGCAAGTCCAACCAAGCATCAACTACACCAGGTCAGTAGATACGATTCAACACTAGCAATTGCTCGAAAGTTCGGATCGTGGTCACCATCATCGGACATGTGGTTAGCAACCCCATGAGCACAAAACCATTGTTTATGCTCGTAGGCGGATGGCTTGCATCCTCCTGAGTTGCAGGTCTTCGATTAGCGCTGGTTGCATTGTATGAAAACAATCACTGTTTCGGTTCCAGCTGATTTCGCAGAAACAGTGCGCACTAAATGTGGCATCACCGGTAGCTCGCAGCTTGATGCGCTAACGCCATACATCACTTTGGGTACGCTGCAGCAGACGTTAAATTCAACGCACTAATTTGACAACCATATGCTGCTTAAAATGATGCCAGAATAAGGAAAGACGTGATGATGCGCCTTTACTCGTACGCGGGGAAGTGAGCGTCCAACCGATATTAGTTGACCTGATCAAGTGACCGTTTAATTGACCTAGTTGCTTATCTGAAAGTGACCAAGAGTGAGTGACCCCTGAATTAATACTACTGTAACGCATAGCTACTTCCGGTTCCTTATAAAATAGATTCAATAGCTCTGTACCGTTGTGTCTAGTCAGCAGCACGTTGACGAATACTCTCGGTCACCTAAGACAGTCCTCTCAGTCCGCTAAAAAGAGCAGGAATAGCGAACTTTAAAAGATAAGGAATCATTTATATAGTACTTTATATAAAATTCAACATTTTATAAATAAAAGCACGTATTTTACAAATGACTACCACAAGATAGAGTCTGGACTCCCAGCCGTAGAACGAGCAGAGAGCCAGAGCCGCACTGCAATAGCGACAAGTGCACAAATATTTTCTTTCGTCATTCTACAGTTACAGCGACATAACCGCGCAGCCTACCCCTTTACGCGGTCGCCTCATCGACTCTTCACGTGCATAGCAAGGTCTGTTGTGTGTAGGCAAAAGTCTTTTCGCAGCTGAGACTTCCAATACAACTGCAGTCTCTATTGCACTGCATACCACCCGCACCAGTCCACCTTTCAACCGAAGCTCATGCGCAATCCCGTAGCCGCTACTGCGTCTCACGTTGATGGCCGCCCCTTTGTACGCCTCATAGCGATGCTACTGCTCTTAACGTCGACCTGCATTTGCTACGTCAACGCAGCGGGTGAGGCCCATGCCACACGAGTGCGTCTCGTCAACATCTACCCGCACAACGTCAGTGCGTTCACGGAAGGGCTCGTGTTCGACAACGGTGCACTCATTGAGTCCACAGGGATCAGTGGCGGCTCCTATATCCGCAAGTACAGAGTTTCGGATCTTAGTGCCGATTATTTTGAGGCAGGGGCCACAGAGAGCGTGCCAGTATTGCAGGAGTTCCGCTTCGACGACGCCAGTTTTGGCGAAGGCGTGGCTGTTTTAGGGGACAAGCTGTTTGCCTTGACGTACCAGGAGGAGAAGGTGCTAGTGTTGTCACGCGATGATTTCGAGCTGCTTGGTGAGTTCCCAATCAAGACATCCACGAAGGAAGGCTGGGGACTCACCACTGACGGAGAGTTCCTCATCGCCAGCGATGGCTCTGCGAACATCATGTTTTTTGATCCGACGGACGGTTTCAAGCTGCACCACAGCATCAAGGTTCAGAAGGATGGCGAACTTGTGTCGAATGTGAATGAGCTGGAGTTTGTGGAGGGAGAATTGCTTGCCAATGTGTGGCTCAAGAACTATATTCTGCGCATTAATATTACGACTGGAGACGTGCTGGAGAAGATCAACTTGCGCCCGATGCGCGAGATGGTGACTAATATCCATAGCAAGGCTATGGACGACTCTCCATACAAGAAGGACGCCGTTATGAATGGAATCGCTTTCGACCCCGAGACGAGGCACATATTCGTGACCGGGAAGCTCTGGGACTCCATGTTTGAGCTCGAGCTGTCGTATTTGAAGAAACGCTAGCCATGTCACCGTTCCATTGATCGATACATTTGTTAGAACAAGTAACAGGCAAGGCACTACTGCTCAAGTACATGCAATCATAAAAAGCAGAAGGCACCAACAGTTAGATCGAAGAACATGAACATCTAGCAAGAAGACAGGTAGGCAACATGAGGACACGAAGTGTTAACAAGTATCACTTCACAAGCATCGGCTTGCACTACTTTCTGAGACCAAACGAACCTAGTGGCACAACTTTATAATGGAAGCAATTTCCTTTTGTACTTGCTGAATTCCCAAAGACCAGGTGCCGATAATACACCAACTCTGGTTTACTTGCGACAAAGTTCGACGCGCGATTCCACAAGTCAGTCGGGACAAATAACATGCGCGTGCGATGTTGTAGTCATTCTCGATAGCCACTTTGCACAAATGAATACTGCTCTCTCCTCTTTACCTCCGGCCGTCACTGGATCACCAACATCACGTCGTCTCTGTGGTGTGTGTAAAAGCATAGCTTTGCGTATGGAATGAGGTGGCTGGTCAACTTCATTGCGGTCAAGACACTGTCGACCCAGTCTCTTGCCGGTAAAGCGCATTACTCAGAAGTGACGCAAGAGAGACAACAACCGGTGTTGAGCTTGTTTAGGTGTAGACCCTAGACCAGGGCAACATCGAGGTGCTCTGGCACCAAACAATCAACCAGGCATGTACCGAGCACCAAAGTAGTGATACAGCTATCGCGTACGTTAGACGTTTACGTACACGACTGCAAATGACAATGTTGTGGCTGCGCAACCGTGCCGCCTAACTAAGTCGGTGCGCGAAGAAGTAGTGGACACGATCTGTGCATTAGAAAAGTACAGACAGAGTGACAGCAACTGTTGCTCTATGTGGAAAGCCAATGCAATAGTGCACTGTCTGGCGAACACACGAAGAGCTGCAAGAGGATCTATTTGTCCTAACAACTTGTAATGGTCACTTGAAGAAGTCACAAATGAAGTACACGGCTTCTTCGGTAATCCATTCGAATGATACCTCAGCGGAGACCAGAGTAACGTATCGATGTCATGGTGATTGCGAGCCCGAAGGGTGAAGCTATTTAGTGACTATGCCGCGTGATTTACAGGCACACACCGACAGATATGTACGGTTTAAAGAGTTGGATGCCGAACCCTTTGAATCGTACTTATCTGTCTGTGTGTCTGTACGGCTAGGTGTAGCTTACACGTTCCAAGTGTGATCTAGCCTGTCCCCTCTCACAGGTATACAGGCGTATCCAAAGTCACTCTTTGGCTAGGTCACTATTGTGAGGCACGCACGTGATTGGCTTCAAATCGACCAAAGGTAAACACGGTCACATTAGCAAATGCTGCACGCTCATAAGCGAAGGCTGATGGCGCTGCCCAAGTATGCTGAACTGGGTTAATACAGACATTAAGAGCATCATTCCTTCTTCAGCGACTGCTGCTATTGTCTATGTTAATTCATGATGCGTCTTGGTCTGCACTAGTGCAGAGGTAGTTAAAAGTAAAAGTAAAACAATTTCAGCATTGACTATTCTACTTAGTCAATGCTACGACATGCACCTGAACTGCAATGCAACTTGACCATGTATCGGTCTGATGGCATTCGTCCTTCCTTCCCATATCATACGGTGTTCCCACGTCGCAGCTGTGTCATCTTTTTCCAACGGTCAGATCGCCACCTCGCTCACCCATCCGTCGAGTTATTGACCTATCTCTCTATCCAATCTACCCGATCGCCTCACTGTGGTCCCACATGTCACCATTTTTTAACCACTGGCCAATCAGGTGAGACCGTACGTGGTACAGATAACTCACATTTAGAGAGCGCGATTGGTCCATAAAATTTCGCTGTGTCCTCAAGATCGAAATTAACTTAAAGAACACTACTTAGTTTCTGTTGGAAAATGATCGAATAAAATCTCTTTAGGAATATTCTAAAGGAATTGGATAATTGGAATAAGTTTCTAGGAAAGTAAGATATGAAGAAATATGTAGAAATCTAAGTAATTCAACGTATAAAACATCAGTTCCATTGTTGCGTGCTATTAAATAAGTGCTGTTAGTTTCAGTATGGACCACCAAGCTTACTCTTTTGAGAAATGATCGGTGATTTTCTGCTGGTGCATGCTCTGTTGAAGCTGTTGGCGGCATTTCTCGGTCAGCAGTTGCATCCCCACAATATCAATCTTGTGTGCAATATCGATCTTGTGTGCGAATAGGTACGTAGACAATTGTATTGCAGCATTCAGCGCGTCGCGATGAATGAAGATGGGACTTTTGTGTCCTTCGCTGTCGTCATCACGCGAAAATGGCTCAGACGTGGCAGTTGCGTCGAGGTCTAGTTCCCGTTCTTCCAAGTTGTTGTCACACTCCAGATAGTCGTCTGCATCCACTCCATCAGATAAGGATAGTTTGTCGATTAGATTAGCCAGGATTGAGAGATCATTGGGACGGACCGGCTCATCTTGCCTACGGAGCACTGCCGCCATAACTCCCGACACGATTCCTGTGTGGATCAAACAGTGTCGAATAGTTTTAGGGCGCACCTCAGCCCACGATTTTACCACCATGCGGATTGCGCTGAGAACGTCGAGCTTCTTGTCCTCCGTCCCTGCCGTCACCATGTCCAGTAGCCACTGCACGAATCGGGCCTTGTACTTGAGCTTTAAGTTGCGAATGATGCCCGCGTCCATCGGCTGCAAATGGGAGGTGGCATTTGGCGGAAGGAAGTGAATGTGTACGTTTGAGAGCTCCAAATTGACATGTGAGGTCGCGTTGTCGAGCAGCAGAAGAACTTCTCGCCCACACATTTTGAGATTGAATGCTTTCAACCAATTTGCAAAGATGCCGCCAGTCATCTATGCCTTTGCATTTGCATGGAAGTGGACGGGTAGCTTGGAAACGTCGATGGCGTTTAAGCAACGGGGGTAGAGGGAATTGTTAATCACGATAGCGTCCAGTTTCTCAGTCCCATCCCCATTAGAGTATAACCCTATCGAAATGCGCAACTTATCTTTCTTCTTGCCACTCAAAGGCATCGTTGCCAGAGCCCGCGAAGGCATCATGTGTAACGGGGCACCCTGAAGCTTGTACTGGCGACAGTACAAGCTACTTATTCTGATGACAGAATAAGGCGGTGCCTCGTAACTTCACGTACACTCGTACGTGCAGAGGAAGACGGTAAGAAGAAGCGAGTACTTGGTTAAAGTAAAAAGTAGAACTGTATTTATCATAGTTAATGTCTGCAATAAATCACTATTTATCTTCATCTAACTATGTCTAAATACAAATGTGTAAATCAACTATCTGCTCACCACTCATTGCGTGCGTCTGTCGTGGCGCGTCTTCGTTGGTTGATATAATTGCCTATATCAACCAATTAGGAACTACTCGTATATGCTACAGAATATTTGTCCTTATGACAATATTCTGTGAATATAACTCTTATAGTTATATTATATTAACAATTTCTTTTAAATAGTTATGTAACGATGCACCCCGTTGCATCACTCCCCCCTTAACCATCAGTCACTTTAGTGACTGATTGACTAAATGGATACTCGTCCCAAATCATTTGGGGCAGGGTTTGCACTTGTTGGTCCGAGTCCACTTCCCAACAATTCATCGCATGGTTAACAAGCCCATGCGATGCGCGAGCAAGGCCGCCGAGAGCGCTTCTGCACGCCTCTGTGCGGACGCCGAAGCAGAAACCGCAGCAACTGATGTCTCATCGGTTGCTGAAGCGACTCAGCCTGTGTCACCTGGTGATGCAGGCGCTAGTCATGAAGACACTCATGTCTTCACAGAGTATGAGCTCGGTGTCTCATACTCTCCTGATACGGATGACGGATCCGTATCGATGGCGATTGAAACCAAGCCGCCTGCCAAGCGTGGCATGGACGATGCTATGCGTCGCAGCATCTTTGATTCATCTGATGAAACAGATGAACCATCGCCGAAGCGAAGGCGCTCGAGGTCGCGAGACTCGGGCTCTAACAGTGGTGTCGGTTCTCCTATGGACACCACTTCGCAACAAGGTGCCGGTCCTTCTGTCGGCACATCGCAGGAAGAGCGGGACCGCAATGTCTTGCGTCTCGCTCCCGAGAAGAAGGCATGGATGCCTCCTAAATCCGTCATGGATCACTTGTCGGCGACGACGAGTGATCGTTATCGAACACGATTGTTCGATTCGTCAAGGATCCATCACCTTGACCCCAGCGCGGAGAACTATCGCGCTGAACATGAATTCTTCATCGATGCTTTCTTTAGGCAACGATGGTACAGTGGGAATCACAAGCGTGATGGTCCATCCCTGCTTCAGGCGTGGAACGCCTACATCCATAACCTTGAGGATGTAGGTCGTGACGCTTGGAACGACAAACTTATCAAAGCTCGTGATACGTTTGAAAAGCGAACCCCGACAGGTGCACGCTACAAGCTGCATCGTCTGTCAAGGGAGAAAGGATTACCCTGCCTCTCTTGGGGAGACTCGTGCCCATGTTGTGTGAACAACTCTGCACGAGCACCTAAGGAGGCTTACCTCCTTACCAGCCCGTGGTGGCGCGTACATATCTCTACTGAGATGTACGAAGGGATTGACAACCTGAAATCTATTTACGACCGTGCCGGGTAGACTTTCTCCGGCGGTCCTTCTGCGGCACAGGATGTGCCGCGTCGTACTGCTCAACCAGACCCAGTACGTCGATCATCAGTTGGGAGCGAGGCTCCCAAGTATCCCAGGACGGGGGATAGCCGCGCCACCGGACGAGATAACTCGTCCGACGTCCGTTCACGTCGCGGTGGCTCACCAGCTGCTCAACTAGATAGCGCTGGCCACCGCGAGAGTCCTCTAATGGAGGTGGAGGAGGAGGAAAGACGCTCTCCACACGATCATGGGGATCCGTGTGTTCCCGAGGGCTTCTTTGATCGCGTAACGCAAGGGTTACGCGACGATCTCGAACATGAGCGGAATAGGCGTCTCCAAATGGCGGACACTGTCTTGAAGCATCGAGCTGAGTTTGCCTTTGCTCAGCTTGAGAACGAGAGATCTCTGACATCTCTTTGTGACGAGCTAAGGGTAGCTAGTGGGATTGTTGATCGGTCTCGGGATGAGATAACTGCTCTTCAGACCCTTGTTGATATCCACCATCGGGAGCACAAGGCTCTCTGCGAGATGCTTGAGCGCAAGGGCGTTCTTCATCGGAAGAAGCAGCGCACTGATGGTACGGCTTAAGCCGACCAACGTACAACGTGGGATGCGTTCGCATCTTACGTGGCTGTTCGATCGTGTATACGTTGCCTAGGCGGTGCAATACACGAAATGGGCCGATGTACTTGGGTAGTAGTTTAATGCTACCCAAGTTAGTCACTACATGCTTTAATAGATTAACCGTAGACAGTAGGACTAAGTCACCTTTATTAAATAAAAAGTGTTTGCCCTTCCATTCTTGTCAGCGTTTTGCTTTTGCTTGTCCACCGCTTCGGCGATGGAGTCTTGCACAAAATGACTACCGTTGCACGAGCCAGTATGAACTCATCTGATGACTCGTCAGCTTCAGTGTGCTGTGAGCGCACTGCAGCAACATCAACCTTTTCTTCAGTGAGGGCTTCCGCACTCTCACTGGCATCATCTTCTTCAGTGAGGGATTCCGCACTCTCACTGGCATCATCTTCTTCGATATCGATGTTATCGATATCGGCATCAAACTCAATGACCTCTTCGTCAGAGCGTGATGAGCGTGAACCAATTCGGTTTTTGCTCGCGCGAGTCCCCCCCCCTTAAACCAGAGTTATACTCTAGTAAGGTGGGTACACGCGGATGGCGCAAGCCATTCACGTAAAACGGTGTGTGTGTCGTGGACGCATGCACCGATTTGTTAATGGCAAACTTTACCATTGGCAAAAACTCACTCCAACTCTTAAAGGAGTGTACGTATCCTCGAAGTATCTCTTCAAGGACACGATTGGCACGTTCCGTCTGACCATCTGACTCTGAATGATCAGATGTAGACATCTTCAAGCGCGTTCCGAGTGATTTGAACACGGAACGCCACAAATCAGCAGTGAATCGTGGATCTCTGTCTGATACGAGTTCACGGGGCAACCCATGAAGTCGGAAGATGGTGTCGATAAAGACACAAGCACAGCCACTTGCTGTGATTGTCTCTGGTACAGCCACGAGGTGTACCATTTTTCTGAATCTGTCAACAAATACGAGAATACCCGTATTCCCGCGTGCGTCTTTGGGTAACCCGAAGACAAAATCCATTGAGATGGATTCCCAGCACTCTGCCGGAACTGGAAGAGGCTGTAAAGGTGCAAGCAGTGAAAGACTTGACTTCACTCGTTGACAGACTTCGCATGCGCGGACGTACTTTCGCACAAACTGATACTGGCGGGGCCAGTAAACGTCTCGACTCACCGTGAGATATGTTTTCTCTCGGCCACGATGTCCTTCTATAGGAGCATTGTGATGCTCGAACATGATCCGCAAACGCAGATCAGTATCATCTGGAATGAAAACACGTGGTGTGTCACCAGTAACGGCTGTATAATACAGTAAACCGTTACGAGTAGTGTATCGATCTGATGCAGATCGATACGCAGACGACAATCGTTTCAACGATTCTCGAGATGGTTGGGAGAGATGTGACAACAACTTCACAATCTCACCATCTTGGGCGTATGCCCGCCTCACATCATCATACAACGTTGTAGATGGGACTGAGGACGTCATAACCGCAACAGTGACTGTCTCACTGTTGGGTTTCGCGACTGTTTCAAAGTCGGGACGACGTGAGAGTGCACCAGCGACGACATTAAGCCGTCCTGGTTTGTACTCGTCCGTAAAGTTGTATTCTGCAAAGAATGACAACCACCGCGCCATTCGTTGTGAAAGGTGCGGGCTGTTCACTGCCGTGCGTAATGACACATGGTCAGTGTAAACAACGAAGGGTCTATCTCCTAATAGATAGACTCTGAACTTCGCGAGTGCATACTTCATGGCAAGGAGTTCCTTGTCATGCACTGGATAGTTCCGCTCAGCTGGTTGCAGCTGACGCGACTGATAGCAGACGACGCGTTCAACGCCTTCAAGATCGTACTGCATTAATGCACAGCCGATTGCAAAATCGCTGGCATCACAGACCACATGAAATGGCCTGTCCTGATCGGCTATTGCTAGGACTGGGGATTGTATCAAGCTCTGCTTGATACCATCAAAGGAGCGCTGACATTCAGCGTTACATAACCACCTCTCGTTCTATTTCAACAAACGAGAGAGGTGTACAGTCATCTCGGCGTAATTGCGTGAATACTTGTGCAAATACGCCGCTAGCCCAAGGAATTTTCGAAGACCTTTGACATCGACCGGCACAGGCCAGCGGTGATCGCCTTGATCTTTTCGGGATCAGGACGTACACCGTTCTTACCAACGATGCATCCAAAAAGTGGTATTTCGCTTGCTGCAAATATACACTTCTTGAGGTTTGCATACAATTGATGCTTTCGCATGATTGTAAGAACCTGTCGGACGTGGTACCTGTGAACCTCAATGTCCGACTTTCCATCCATAGCTCGACTATGGATGAATACGTCATTGAAATAACTCGGCGCGAATTCTCGTACTGGTCTCAACAGATGTGATACACATCTGTTGAACGTGGCAGGGGCATTACTAAGCCCTTGTGGCATTACTAGCCATTCCCATAGCATGCCGCTAGGCGTGCTAACTGCGGTATAGGGTATATCCCGTTCTCGCATAAGGATTTGATAGAAGCCATCCATCAAATCCATGGACGAAAAGATGGTGCTCTTTGACATACCATCAATGATTACGTCCTTCCTCGGTATCGGCGTCTGAGCCGGTACCGTTGCAGCATTGAACTTGTTAAATGCATGCACTATCCGCCACCCTCCTGTTGATTTTCGCACACAGAAGGTCGGAGAGCTATGTGGGGAAGTTGATTCCCTCACATGGCCCGCAGCTAAACGATCGGCAAAGAACTTGTCGATCGCAAGTACTTGTTCACGAGGCAGTGGCCACTGCTTCATGACACAGTACTTCGAGCCTGGTTTAAGCTCGACCTCGTGTAGAATACTTTTATCCTTCGGTAATTCGCACGGAACAGTTTCAGGGAATACATCCTTGAATTCAACCAAATCTTCGTAGAGAGGATTTGTCTTGAGCGATTCCCACGATTGGGAGTCATATCGCTCAATTCGTGTCTTTTCATCTAGGACACTCTCGTCCATAGATGAACTACTGAGAACTCTCTCGTTCTCAGTAAACACTGTTGCTGACCTTATGTCGGTTACACACTCGTCGTCAGCGACGAGTACGCAGATCTGCTTGACTTTGCCACTACGCAGATCACGCAAGAACCTTTTATGGTCGAGCGTTGGCAACTGAGTGATCCCCGAAGTCAACTTTGGAGGCGCAATCAGATCAAGTGTATAAGCGCCTACACTTGATCCGTTATTGACTATGACATTCAATGTCTCTGTCATTTCCTGGGGACTTATTCCCTCAGGCCTCGAAGGACTTATTCCTTCGGCTTCCCGGGGAATTATTCCCGCGGGTTTCGGGGAACTTATTTCCGCCGTATTTGTAATCTTTGGACTTATTCCCTTAACTTCCTCTTGCTGGGATTGCGCAACCGCAGCGAGATCCTCTACGAAAGACTCTCCAGTCGATCTAGGATTGTCGTTTCGCTTAACCTGAGCGGGAGCGATCGATTGTTTCTCTTCTAGATGTTCCCCGCTAGGGATACATCTTTGTCCCAGTCCACCCGACTTATTCGAGTGGTGGACCTTCGGCGCAGCCTGTGTTTCCTCACAGCCGCCGGAACTTTGCTTCGAAGTGTAACCGTTTGGTACATTAAGGTTTCGTGCAGTCGTACGAACGACCGTACCACAAGTGAGGCCATCGCACTCACTCGTAGTACATCCACACGCTTGTGGACGCTCCAAAACGTTCATCAGATGGCCATCTGATGAACAAGCGGCAGGCATCGTTACTGTTCGATGTTGCCAGTTTACCCGTGGTTCGTACCTTCTGAGCCACGGTATTCCAAGGATGACATCAAATTTGTCATCCAAATTCAATACGATAAAGTCATCGTCATATTGGGTATCTTCTAGCGTATAGTGAATCTTCACTATACGCTTCATGACGGTTACGGATGGGCCTGTCGCAAGACGTACCGTCATCCTCGCAGGAGGTGTGTCACATTCACTGAACTTAAAGTGACCATCTTCTAGCGATTGGCGTCGCACAAAATTGTTGGACGCCCCACAATCGACTAGAGCTCGAAGGGACAACTTTTTTGTCACTTCGAGTTTCAAGGTAATGAGTGAGATCTCATTACCTAGAGCAGCAACGCACAATGTTTGTGTGTTGGGAGCAACCTTCATCAAGAGGCCTACAAATTCTCTTGATGTTGCTGTACCAGTAGGGTGCTCCGCACCTACTGATCCTGTCCGTTTTTTGACGGTCCATCCCGTTGTTGCGTCTTTGCACCAACAGCGGACCCTCGTCCCTGCCCCTTTCTCATGGGTGGACGGTCACTACGCCCAGTGTCGCGAGACACTGGACGAGGGGCACTACACTCGTAAGCGTAGTGTCCTGTCTTTTGACATCTGTTGCATTTCTGCAACTTCTTGTAGTCTGTAGAGCGAGCCTTCTCGCTCTCTACATAACAGAGTTCCATCGGCTCTGGACCTCCGTTGTCATATCGTCTCGGTTGACGATATGATGTCGAGCTGGCGCGAGCCTGTCTCAGACTGAAGTCTTCCTGCTCCGCATGGAAATGGCTTGTTCTAGTGAATCTAGTTCAAGCCGGAACAGGTGAGTCTTGACGGGACCATCCGCAAGACCCTGCATGAACACCGAAACCAACGTGTGTTCATCCACCGGATTGGAACTCATACAACTCGTAAGATGTCGTATATGTTGCGCGTAAGCGTGCATATCACGCTTACCCTGCTTGAGCTTCAAGAGTTCGGTTCGAGCTCTGAACTCATCTCTAGGCTTCAAACGTTTGTCTGAGTCACGACTTGAAGACTTCTAACGACCCAAACGCATATGGGTCGTGCAGCTTGAGCCCCAGTGCCCAAGTCTTGGCAAGTCCTGCCAGATTTGACTGGGCAAATGCAACTTGCATATCCCCGTCGTCGATGCGACGCGCCCTTATGGCGTCATCCAATTCGACGAACCATCTCAAGAGGGAGTCCTCTTCGACTCCCCTATACTTGGAGATGTCAATCTTCAAGGTTTCGGATCGACGCGAGTGCATCGACCCGCCAGCAGCAGCCTGCTGCTGTCTCAACAGTTCAAACTGTTGAGCACCCTGTTCTCTCAACAACTCTGCTTGTTGAGAACCTTGTTGGTGAATCAAGGCTACTTTATCGCGTTCTGCGTCAAGTTCATTTTGAATGAACTTGGCGATAGTAGCATGTTGGGCATCTCTATTGAGAGCCTCTAGCATGACGCTAACAGCATGGATGCCCATGGTCGAACCCATTCGTTCAACCGCATCCCATTCGACATCGCTCAAATGGGAGTAGCCGGCACGCGTAGCGTGAAAGCTTTGGTCATCTTCATCATCTAACATATTCATGTTAGATGTGAACGTGGTCCTTGGACGGACTACGAAGTGCTACCAGGTGTAACGGGGCACCCTGAAGCTTGTACTGGTGACAGTACAAGCTACTTATTCTGATGACAGAATAAGGCGGTGCCTCGTAACTTCACGTACACTCGTACGTGCAGAGGAAGACGGTAAGAAGAAGCGAGTACTTGGTTAAAGTAAAAAGTAGAACTGTATTTATCATAGTTAATGTCTGCAATAAATCACTATTTATCTTCATCTAACTATGTCTAAATACAAATGTGTAAATCAACTATCTGCTCACCACTCATTGCGTGCGTCTGTCGTGGCGCGTCTTCGTTGGTTGATATAATTGCCTATATCAACCAATTAGGAACTACTCGTATATGCTACAGAATATTTGTCCTTATGACAATATTCTGAGAATATAGCTCTTATAGTTATATTCTATTAACAATTTCTTTTAAATAGTTATGTAACCATTCACCCCGTAACATCATGCGATAAAATTGACCGGTTTCATCCATATTGAAAACATCGCACGCCGCGTAGCCATTGAGAAGGGTCCGGAGTTCCTGGCGCCGCTGGTGAAGGGTCTCTAGCTCGACTGAGGCCGCCTCGCCATGCAGTCGGTAAGACTTGATGCCGTGTCGGGCTTTGAACCTCGACACCCGCGAAAGCGAGAGCGTCGTCGTTACACCTGCGTCCTCGAGCAGTTGATTGGCCTTCTTGTGGAGGATGAAGTCGGTCAACGTGACTTTACTTTGAGTGTCGAGCACGAAATGGAACAGCGCTTTCTCCACCTCGGCATGTCTGCCCTTCTGCTGCCGTTTGGCTCTCGGATTGAGGGTGACAGGAATATCCTCGCTCAGAATCCTGCTGATCATGGACCGTGTAACACGGACTCCAAATTCTCCCAGCGCCTATCGACAGAGACCGGCTTGCGTGAGTCCAGGGTTTTCTCGCTGGTGTGTCTGTGGAGCTCTCTTCTGGACGAAGGAAAGGTGCGTTCGGGGCGCCATTCGTACGTCGTGTTTGTCTGCAGAGGTGCTCGAAAAATTGCGAATTGTCCTTGCGTGGGGAGAATGGGACGGGTGGCGGGCGTCACTACGTTCTTTTGTCCAATAGCTGTGCGATAGAAATATACACTTAAAATTTGCATGTGTTTTTTGTCCAGTAAAATGCGGTTTATAAACTGTGTTGGTCCTTTAACCGTGGTCCCTCTAACTGTGAGCTATCTGGATATCCCTTGAACCTTGAAACCTGTCAAACATAATAGTTGCTAACAGTTTAGTGTTTGCACCAAAGGGCGAGCTCCCGAACTTGTTCCTCGATCTTATCCTGCTGTGGGTGTTTACCGTCAATGTCGGAAGCTTGCAAAAAGTCTTCGAATCCGATGTAGCCATCTTGGTCAGAGGTGTCATCTCTGCATCCACGAATATTGTGTGTGATACACCATCTACAAAATCACCCTCGAAGCGCAATGGCGCTACGTCTCCGTCAGCTCCAGGTGATCCATCGCCACGGCGACCGCGCCCCATTGGTCAACATCTTCCAGGGAAGCAACAAGGTTCAACTGGAGAAAGACGAGGCGCAACTATGGGATCGTCGTCTGCCTATGCCGCTGCAACGCGCCCGACTTGGTTCCAGATTCAGCGTCCAGTCAAGCGCTGACACTTCAAGTTCGTTCCTCCAGCAGCGGCCTTTTGGGTACTTAACGACTCGAGGGATTGAGCAGATGACAATGCGTGGCCAGTGGCTGGTGAGATGCAGGCTACGGTCAGCTATAACGGCTGTTTGTATCGACAGTTGTGAGCTAAAGATGAGGTTGACGCTCATGTGACAGAGACAATTATGCGTGGACGAGGAGCTACAGCTGGATGCAGTGACAACCGAGCAGCTGCAGGTTTACAGCAGTGCTTATACACGGACCCAGCTCAGTGTTCAGGCACTGCTGGACGGTATGCTGAGTGACCATTGTCAATCCATTCCTTCCGTTCGAGTTCTCCCACCGGAAGAAGACATCATCAACAGTGCGTTCGTCACATGTAATTTGACGGGTGACCTTCGCCGGACACTGATCGTTGACGATGCATGTGTTCTGGCTTAATCGTTGCAGCATATGCTATCTTTCCGGAGATTAAGAAGCTGAAAGCGGATTTAGAACGCGACGATGCTCAATTTGCAGCGCGTGAGCATGAGATGGCACCGATCAAGTACGAGTTGATGCGACTCTTCCCAGCTGTGCACTCGGGTCAAGTACCTTTCAACTGGCTCAATGCTGCCGACTATTTTGTCTGCCGACACGCTCATCAGGCCCCCTACATCCCAGGCACCGAATTACATGCCGATGTCACTGAAAGGCACCTCGAGTTCCGTTTCCACCAGGTAGGGGATAGCGGACTGCTTGAGAGTGTGTCGGACTTCTGACGAGTTCTCGTTGCGTATCAGTTTTACTCTCATCGACCGATTTTGAAGCTTGTGGCTGGGCGCCTGATGCACAATGTGCTATTGGAGGTACGTCAACATGCGATCTCGGACACCATGCGTGAGCTCGGCTAAGTGTTTTCTTTCGACACTGGAGATGCAAAAAGCTCTGTGGGACCACCGCGAGAGCAAAACGATTGTGGTTTATAGCGGACACGATGTGTCGCTGCTATCGGTCCTCCGAACATTGGACGCCGACGTCGCGAACAACAGTGAGTATTGGCCTGAATATTCTTCAACTCTTGCACTCGAGCTTTTGGAGAACGACCGCGGAAAGTTCTTCACTCGTGCTCGACTAAATGGTGACATCCTGGCGATGCGCGAGGCACCAGACGGTCTCTGTTCCACCGATCGCTTTCGTGACGTGGTCTTAGACCACATTGGGTAGAACAATTGGCCTCACTTACAACAGCATGTCGTAATCGACTCACCAAGACCACAAAAAGAGACTGACGAGCAAAGAGATGAGATTTCTTCTACTATCACAAGTTAAGCCAGCAGCTCGGCCACTTGCAGAGCACGCTTGTAACGTCGCCGAGCGAGCTTGATACTGAGCATTTTTTCCTGTTCTCCCGCCGCTGCGTTTTCTTCCTCTTTCGACGGAACGCCAATGTCAATGATACTTTGCGCTTTATCTGCCACACGCTGCACAAGATTGTCAGATGCAGTCCACCTTCCACAAACCGTCAAAGCTGCAAACCTCGCGTGCAGCGCCTTGGATTCCGTCCAGATACTGCAGCACAACAGCAAACATGGACTTGGGTACAACGTCTGCCTCATACATCCAGTGCAGAATCCACTGTTGCTTGATTTTCTACATTGCCGTGAGGAAAACAACACACGACAATAAGCCAATGTCCTCGTCATCCTCAGCTTCTCTCTCCTCACAACAAGACGTACTTTGAACTTCCATGGCAGCTCGTCATCGGACTTTGGTTCGTCACGTTTCTGCCACTGCTCGAGATAGTAATTCGCCTGTTGGATTGCGTCCGGTGATCGATCGGACTTACCGCCACCTTCGTTCGTCTCCCCAGCTTCTTTCGTCGTGATGACACGTGCACGTTTCTTAGGTACGACTTTATCGCCATTGTCATCGAACTTGACGTGCGTCTTCGCCGGCTCTTTCTTGGTCTTGAGGGACTTCAGCTTTCCACGCTGCTTCTTGGATGGCTTGGGCACGGGCATGATGACATGCACACACGCACTCGAACTGGATGGACTGGACCTGGCCACCCAAAAGTTCCTGCGACGTGTGCAGCTGATACGATATCCCACGATCCCAGGCTATCTGCTGATTGGCGAGATATGGATCTAAGCGTGATTCTGATTCGTGAATAGTCGCTGGCACGACCCGTGCTTGATTTACAACATCTGGGCGTAACTTCTGGTACAACTCTATCCGTTCGTACAGATTTGGGTAAATAAAAGCCACACGAAATGATCTGGTTGAACCAGAAGTTCCAGAAGCCCCAGTTGCGAGAACAACGCCTGTCAGAACCTTGTTTAAGCTCGCCTCTTGTGCTGCTATGTTTTGCTCCTTGCAAAAAAACGTGCGCCAAAGTAATGGGGCGTCCTGCTATACTTTGCGCAGTGCTGACGCGATAATTTTACTGCCTTTGCCAAAATGCTCAAAATGAAAGTCTGACTTGTGTTCTGCAAGTCAGACTTTCGTTATGAGCGTCAAAGTTGTTGATTTGCGCACCTCAAAGTGATGTTCACGCAGATTGCATCCTCAACCTCAGCGCCGGCACTTCGCCGTGCTGTTAAACATATTCATGTAGATCTCCAGCGAGTGACCTGAGTCCACTTTGGTTACGTAAACACGAATGCAAGGTGCCATTGTATCATTTCACTGCGTCTTCGCACTGCCAGCTCTACCATGAGTGACGGACGGTATCTATCCCCCAGAAGCGCAAGCACACAGGTTTCCCCACATGGCGGGCTACAGGAAGTGGGTCTTGCGGAGATCCTGGTACTTCTTATATCCAACAGCCACAACACCGGCCATGATGATAACGACGACGAAAAACGGCGTCTTCCAACCCCCAGACTTGGCAGCCGTTTCCTTCACAGTTTCTTCCAGCTGCGTGACCACTTGGCCGCGAACCGAAGCCACCGTGCTGTCCACACGCTCGATGACTTTTCCATTTGTCCAGGCCTCAAGCTCCGCAATTTGCTTCTCATCTTCCGCTTCTTGTTCTTTTAGTTTCTGGATCGTGTTTTCAGTCGACTCCTTCAGTGCAGTAAACTGGTACTCGAACTCTTCCAGCAACTGGGTGTACTTGCGCTTGATCAACTTCACCTTGCCGTCAATATCCCCGCTGACCAATGTAGCTTCGAGACTCTTGTCTGCAGCGCTGCGATGCTTCTCGTCTTCCTCGGCAACTAGCGAGTCAATCACGTCACTAGAATTGCAGAAACAAGCGGTCAGTCTTGGTCCTCGCAAAACAAAACCCTCACCTCGATATAGCACACAGCAGACAAACCGACTTACTCGTAGACATTCAAGGCAATGACGTCGTGGTTGTCTGCCAGACCGCCAGTCGACGCCGAGATGCCAATGTAGGCGTCGTGCATCCAGTCATCCCCAATGTTAAGACGTTGACTGTAGCACTTGACCCAAGTGCCCGAGGCGTCGGCATCAATGAGGATCGCCACCTGCTGATCCGCCTGTGTGTACATGATCTTAGCACGCGACATGTTGAGCGACGGGCTAAACGCCGCATTCTTCTCATGGTACCGGATTCCAGGGGCCATGCAGCCGACCTTGTCAGCCTCATTGAGCTCGTCCAGCGTCTTCGTGCCGTCGTTCTCATAGAACGCCACGTCCTTGTGGCCACCACTGTGTTCTTGGTTGACAAACGTGTCAAAGACGACACCAATGCCCTTGAACTCGCCAATGAAACCGTGGTTGTCCCCCTGTACATACTCGCTCGAGGTCGTCACCCAGAGCGCGAGACCGTCGCCGAACCAAGCTTTGGCCTGGCCACTGATCCGGAACGTCAGCACAGCCGCAAACTCCTTGACGCCGAGCTTCTGCTTCCCCCAAATGTGGCCGCGCTTCTGTTGACGGTCCGGTGTGAGCCGTGCAAAGTGGCGGTTCACAGCCACGTCGCCGCCGTACACGAACTCGTCCCCAATCTGGCGATGACCTTCGCCGTTGATGGTATCGAAAGGTTTCCCGAAGGACACGGCGTCAATGCGCTTGGCATAGGCAGGGGACCACTGCCAAGCTGCGAAGAGAGTTGCCACGCATAGCAATGGACCAAAAAGGCTGGTCATGGGTGGTCTGCGAGGTCGATACTCACACTGATTAGACGGTATCTGCTGCTACGTGGCCAAGTGGAACGTATGGAGGTACTGGGGGTATGTGGGTAAGTACGATTGAGCTCGACCGGGTGGAGGATCAGTTTGGACTTACAAATTTGGAGCGAAGTGAAGCCGGTTTCATCGTTCCGAGCTTAATTTCTAGGTCGATCAAGAATGGGAGCCGATAGCCGCCTTTTTCACTATTCGCGCACCTTTTCCTCCATCACTTTACCTACCTTATTCGACTATAGAGTCTTCTGATTGGATTGATTAAGAAGGGTAATGCTCTCGTAACTATTTAGCTTTCTCGTTTTCAATGATCGAACGGTAGATCTGAATATTCTGACGCATGACTATGGCGATATTTGCAGAGAGCCGGTAGAGCCATACGCCCTATTAAAATGTGGAGCAAGCTCTGAAGCTCGTTCTTTGATGTAGGTAATTCAGTCCATAGACTGAATCAAGTTCTATATATTCATGTATCCAAATTAAGAGGTTGGCGACGAGGAAATGAGTAGGGGGGTGTGTTTTGTCAATGAGAGTGCTGGAGGATTGTGTGAATCAAAGCGATTAGTTGATATCGTTAGTTTTTCGAAACTGACGAATACGAAAGTAAAGAGAAACGAGTATGATCCTGCTCGGTCACACCAAAAACTACAAAGTGCGGCCTACAACATGTAATAAACAAAGGAAAATAAGAAAATGTTCCATTTACTCACGAAAATAAAAGTGCCCAGATAATTGGAAAATAAAAACAATGCCCTGATTTCAGTATACCTATGTCGAAAATGGTACATTCAGATCGACCCCGCATAAATTTGATTGAGATGATAGACTTACATAAAATACAGGGCTATAACGTCAAAACAAATATAAATATAAGCGCGTTGTCGTCCAAAATTATGCAAATTTCATCGATTAGACTATACTTGATGCATCATCGCACGTTTCTCCAAGTTGTATACCTACAGAGGAAGGATTCTAAATGCATGGAAAAGACTAAATAAAAGCCAAACAGATAGAATGGATTCATAAAGGGTAATGATTAAATCAAACTTCTTTGTTAAAGCTAGCTAAGGAGACGGAATGGAGATGCCTTCTCACAATTGCACCAACAACAGCAGCGTCAGCTGCAGCGTGCACAGAACGATTACAAGGAGTAGATGCAGTAACAGCAGTGGCAGCAGTAGGAGCTGTAGAAGCAGTGATAGCAGCACCTTACTCTACAATAAACAGCATAAACGCAACAATCATTAAGATTAAGCGGCAGTACCATCAATACCAAGCAAGAACCTACTGCAACAACAGTAGCAGCGTCAGCGTACCTTCAGTAGCAGCAGTAACAATAAAAACGGGTGCAGCTGTAACAGCAATAACAATAATAACATTTGAAATAAAATGGACAAGAATCTAGTCAATTACACCAATGAAAAATCAGCAGCACAGGTAGCCTGTATGTAAGACCGCGGACGATGAAGGAAAAAGTGTCACGTGCTCTGCATCACCGTCCGCGGCAAAACCTCGTCCGGGGCTGATCCTATAGAGTGGCGGTCGAGATCGACAGAAAATTACTAATGAGATAAGACTGGCGACGTAAGTATTTACGTGAACCACTTTAACATGTGTATACCAGGATGTTGAGCATTTTTATTTTTGTGAATAAACGGGACTTTTCTTTTTAATAAACAAATGACAAAGAGAAATATATTATTTTAGCTCATTAAGCAGCTTCAAGAATCTATGACCATGTTCTCTTACTTTATTAGTATATCAAATACCTCGGATGTAAACCTCTTCACATATACTGATTGCAGAAGGTGCTCGACTTTCGCCGCCCCTGTGTGTCTAGCATTTGTTAACTTCATAAGCCCTTGGTCCGCCCTATATTTTGATCCGATCACGTGTGGATATTTGTGCGTGTATGAATGCTACATAGTTCATAGTCGCAATTCATGACCTAACCAGAGAGTGCCATCCAAAATGTCAATTGAACAATAACGGATGAAAAAATGCTGCATCACATTTAGTACGACATGAACGGTACACCTCGCGTTTGTTTACAAACATATACGCAGGACTCGGCAAGGTACGATACAAGCTTACCGGGTAACAGTATTTGCTCTACCTTTAATTTACCACTACCTTTAATCGGATAGTCTATGGTTACCTCCACATTTACCTTACTTTACCTTTTTACCCAGGTTTTTTATCCGGCAAAGAAACGTTTGAATGATCGGTAAAACCGTGTAGCTGAAGCTGTATTGATGTTATGACGACATCGCCGGCCTATCAGAGCTCACATTGGCCTCAATTGCTGTATTGGCGAATCGGTTGTGCAGCAACTGGAAAACCCCATCTTCAAGGATCTGCTCGTCACAGTTTTCCTGTTCCACCTAGAGCTGCTGGACGCCGGACTGCACGAGTGCGTCTGCTTGCGATCAATTTACCGGCACTTTTGGGATAACGACATCATCTATGAGCCCAGAAAACATATATATGTTGATATATTTACATAAAAAAAGAAGGAAGCACCATCTGTAGGCACATTACATACTGACTACCCATTATTTACATATCGCAGAATATTTTACACACTCATGCGAAATGTAAATAATGGATTGTTTGTAGTTGTCGACGCGGTTCTGGGCGTCGGCGTCGCTGTCGTCTCCGCCACCGCTGGAGCTCTCTATGAATAAACAGGCTTAGAGACTTGGTCGCGCGCGACGATGTGTACTTTGACTTCGATGGATTGTTTTCTGCGCTCTGGAAGATAATAATTTAGTTGAACTTTGTTGCGCACTCCGCTTGGACATTCATGGACATGGACAATTCACAGCTTGAAAAATGCTAAAAAGAGGCCATTGTGTCAGACTTTTACATTAATATACCTGTTTTACCGAGTAATCGAGTAATTGTGTCGGCTTTACCATTACTCTACCCGCTTTCCTTACCCGTTGACTACTCTTCGCCCTTCACTACTGATTTATCGTTTTACCTGGAACGAAGGGTACCTTACTTACCTTGCCGAGGCCTACACATATCTAGAAAAAGACCACATCTCACTTAGTATGAGATGTACGGTTTATCAAGCATTACTTACAGTTACTCAGACATACATACAGACAGAAAGATAAGCAAGATAATAGAAGCTCTGCATTCGCCTTGCAGACGGTCACTTATAATTTCACTCTTCGGGTTCGAAATTTGTTTTACGTTAATTGATTTAACGAATCGCGTACGCGCAGCACAATAGTGACCTGGCCAAAGAGTGAATTTGAAAATGCCTATAGATCGACGAGAAGGCAGGCTGTGTCATTCTCAATACGACGTGTAAAGTACACCTAGCTCATTAGCTGACAGACGGAAAAGTACGAATTTATAGGATCAGCATTTACCTTGTAACTTCACCCTTCTGGTTCGCAAATCTTAATAAATCTCTCTTAAATCACCTACTTTTCAGAAATGCCACAACCACTATATCTGAAAAAGGCCCGTTTGCCGCGTTTTATTTTCTGTGGAAAGACGCCATCTCCTCGTAATTTATCAGGAAGTCCCTCTACCCACGCTCCCTTATCGGTATAGCCTCACCCCTGTGAATTTGAAACATATTCTTTCTTCTGCCGGTACACACTTTTCGCGCAATATTTACGCTGTATGCTATACTCGGTCCTCGTCACGGAGCTTGCTTCTCACCCGATTAACATATATGAGACTTAGGAGGCAGCAGAGGAGGTGGTAAAACGATGCGGGGCATAAAGGTGCACGAAGGCCGATAATAAGGGGTGCTGGACATGTGTTTAAAAGTATTCCGCTACAAATCTATACAAATTTAGAAGGCTTCGCTATTTTCGGCTGAATGTTGGGTTGCGTTATGCGTTCTCCGCATATGGTTCAGAGTTAGGGTCTTGACAGGTAAACATGGAGAATTGTTGTTGGAGACGTTATTCAGCCACCACCCACTAATAATTCATGAGTTCATTTACGACAGTATATGCATGCACTACAAGTATATACTGCCAACAATGTGAATTATCTAGATTTTTTATGAGGGTACATCTCTCATGACTTGGCGCCAAAGGCGACACACTTGCCACATCCTTCCATACATTTCGGTTGGTGGACAGTTATGCGCATGTCTGATAGTTGCCACTCGTCTCTAGTTAACTATTCGTGCAACAGGGAGGAATGTCAAAAATACCAGAACAAGGACTGCGACTTGACGGGTTGTGAAAAGCGAAGAAGCCTGGATAAAGAAGAATTTAAAGGTGAAGAGTAGTACATGAAGTTAGATTACTTTTATATTACTGAAGTATATTGTGGTGCAGAAACATCGTGATGTTGCCAAAATGAAACAAATAGTGGCGTTCAAAAAAATAAATAAAGAGTGCAATTAGCCATCTATGTCTTGATGGAAAAATTTCGTGATTGAGCTACTACTTTTGATGCGACAATCTTGCCCTGATTTAGTGCGTCATGATCACTAGCCAGGCATCGGCCAAACCTCCTCTTTTTACCTGGATCACGGTCATTGACTTCTCCACACTTCGACTTGATCCGCATTATCTTAGGCCTACCCTTTGTAGCTACTAAACACGATTTTAAATGCGAACGGGAAAATGATCGGGATCAACTTCGACTCTCTTTGATCACATCGTCGCCGTGTCGAAAATTATAATATTAAACAATCATGAAGTTGGGCAATTTCCACGATAGCCACATCTTTTTTCGAAGTCCACTTCCAAGCTCCAATTTAATCGATTTCGTAATACTTCTTTTTTCATCATTAACTGGCAAGTCATAACATCTACAGAGTATAAAAATGTGCTTTTGAGACAAATATTAACATGGATATGAACGGGATAGAATCACGTTAAAACTTCTCAACGAACGTAAGTTCTCCACAGCTGCTGGTTAATGATTGCCTTTGAGATCATAGACATCAACTTTATGCGGTGTAGAATCGCACATGTCACACGTCGCATTTCGCGTCGGACACAATGTGATTTAAAGCAAGGTGCATTTGTTTCTCGACTTTCTAAACGCGTACCTTGAGTACACAGAATGCGCAGAGCAAAAAGTAATGACTTTGCTAATGACCTTGCGATCGTAATTGACTTCCAACCTGGCAAGCCACCGCGCTGCAACTAAAGCTTCATATTGTTTTACAAACTGCGTGAGTTTTATTTGGTCCCAGTCAATAAGTGCACGGTATGTCGAGATTTAATTTAGACCGTTGTGTTGTAATTTATGCCACCGTAAAAAAGCATCGCGAGTAGCATGTCATCCATTTTCTCTAACTTGGTATAGCCTATGCGAATGCACTTTCAGCTACAGATTTTACGCAGATAGAAGATATCGCCTTTAACACTCTATCTCCAGACAGCTGTTAGTCTACTAGGGTGTAGTAAATGTTCTTAAGACATGGCTTAAATCGTTCATTACCAAAAGAGAGGTGAATTTCTTCTCAAAATTACGAGCGATGGGCCACGTAAAAGATAATGATTAGCAGTTGGAAAATCGTGCTCGCTTTCCTAATTTATAGCTGCATATTGGTTTGCTAGAATCGTCAGCGATGGTCGTCTAATCGCCGCAAGAAAATTATGAGAATGCTTTGAGTGTCTCATGTTAAATTCAAGTACAACCAAATTAAATCGTCATCCGATTGTTGTCGTACCGATCGAAAGAAACAGAAAGAAAAGCAAATGATTGATGCTGTAAGTCTTGTCGAACATAGCGTCATACCCAAAATAATTATATTTTACGTGCCACACCACTGATCCAATTGCGTTAGTCAAACGGCCCTTGTTATCGGTGGTGCGCTCGACAAAGACTCAGATATTCAAAAGCCCTGCTTCCAAAGTATTCGATTAGGTGGAAGGCATCATGTTAAAACTTCTCAAGTGTGTATTTGCGAATGTCAGCGCAATATAAATAGATGCCGCGCTTTTTAAAAATCTTAGGTATTGAACGATGGTGTCAATCGAAATTTCTTGAGATAGAGAACATTATCTTAGGTCGTCATCAACTTTATTGAATGCTGGTAAGAGCTGCACCATGCTAAGTTAAGCAAAAGGTGATTGCGGCTATGTTGCTAGCCGATACATTTTTAATTCTTGCTTCTAGGATACATCCTGACCGACAACTTCGAAGAACAGCCAATTCTTTGACTGCTTTTGGTCTAAAAAATTGGTTCCTACGGAGACACATACCACTCTGCATGCAGTTTCGGCTTCAGAACCGATCCAAAAAGAGTGTGGAAATGACTGGATCAATCACGACACTGTGCAAACGATTTCTTGGCAGGACCCAGTGACACCCTCCGAGAAGGCGGCCGCTAAATTCCAGCCATCGCTCCTCGTTTCTTACGAATGTTGGTCGTACCCGCGGTGAACGCATTGGGTCAGACTAACGACGGTCTCAAGCCTTCATGACGCTCTATTAGCAAGTACAAGGGATCTAAACTGGGTGATCATGTTTACGCGCGTTCAGGTTGGTACGAGGACTCACGGGGCATTATGTACGCGTGATACGCGCCAAAAGACGGTTGTAACCACCGTCATGACTGGGAGTATGTTGTTCTTTGGACCGACAACCCTAAAGACCCTGAGGCGAAGGTTCTAGCGGTGACGACAAAGGGCTTGAACGGTCTGAAAAAATGATAGGACCTGGGGATAAGTTTGGGGTCAGATCGAGTGTAAAACTCGAGTATGGTTCCTTTGGTAGATACCATGGCATCAAATTGACTCGCGAGGAGGGTGGAAAACTACAGGCGCTATTCACGTGGGAGCAGCTGCCAGACATTGCTTGGTGTGCGCCCAATCAAGCCAAATGGAACGGAGCCAAAGTGTTTCCCTCTGAGTGATGCCGTGTTTGAGAAGCATCTGAAAGAAGCTTGGTCTTTTGACGGATGCGTTGATGCGACTCGGTCAACGTACCTCGCATGACTTGCATATAGAGCACGCTCGTTGTTTTCTTCAGCTGGCATCTGCCCTTCTGCTGCAGGCGTCTAAGTACAATATTGTTGCTGTAGTTACATCGAAGATGGAGTAGCGCTTCATTTCATGAGTAAATGACTTTTTGTAATTGACATTTTGTTGTGGATGATCTTTACCCGAGGACTCCCACGGAGGTGTCACAGCTGGAGATGGTGTTGATCTGCACTTTCTAAGCAACGCACATATGAGGCAATACATTGCACAAGTGTGGAGTGAGCCCAAGCACGAGCAGGTTTCCGTCGACGGCGGTACAGCGTTCAAACGTAAGATCAAGCGACTATCGATTAGGCTCACAAATTGGTTTTTGTGGTCTTCCTGGTGCTGGGTTTGTACATTTGGAGTCCGATTGGCTGTACAAGACATCGGCAACTGGAACATGCTTAGATGTATGATGCTTGCGTTACGTAGGACATGTTGGGGCAAGTGTTAAATCCCTCACCAATATTTTGCTAATTCTACTCCGTCTCCGACTTCTGCTGTTCGGTCCTACAACTTCCCAAACGCTACCTCGTTCATATGCTCTGTGAGGCAGACGGTTCATAAGCGATTCAAAGCATAGCCACTGCAGGCTAAGCCACTGCAGAGCCAAATGTGGTACGAAATGTGACTGTTTCACTCACTCCGCAAATGGCAATGCAAGTTAGTACAAGTACCCGGCACGCTACCGTTCATTGCAACTTTACAAATAGGGGGATTAGTGCAGTGATCTGTGCGCTTCGAGCCCACAAACCACGGTCCTACTGCATGATAGACCGAACAGCATCTGTGCCCCAGAACAACGAAGGCAAGATAAAACCGAGCAGCAAATGCGTCAGATCAGTATGTTGGATTCATGATCAATCGCATTCCTTCTCAGCACGGATCGGGGTTGCCATCACCGGACGTGTGATTTTGGCGACTGTAAGCCACTCGACCAGTTTTTCTGCTCCGTTGCTTGCTCTATCTCCGGTGACGCTGTCGTGATAACCCTGCAGCTTACATTGTATAAAAAGTAATGGAGTTCTGTGCTGCTGCTTTCAGATCGATACGCGGATCACCGAAAGTGACATCGTCGGTAGCTCGGAGCTTGATGTGCCTATGACAAAGGTCACATTCTAGTGTAGTAAAGTCTTCACCAACTCGATTTAGATGCGCTCTTACAGCTGACACTTCAATGCACTAGAGTTGACAGCAGTACGGTATCTCATGATGGTGACTGGGAGCATTCGAAAGCCTCGTGCTAATGTGCTAAAGCTATGTCTCGCACCGCGGGTCGTGTTGGTTTGCAAGAAGGTCCGCGTTGCAGTTGACATAGCGACAAACACATCACATGCTCAACAACTTGAAGTACGAGCAATGAAAGCTATGGTTCCGATATGCCTGTTTGCTTTGCTTTGTCTACTTTCGGCATGCAGCTTGCTGACTCGTATGCTCGCATTTTGATCGCCACATAGTTGCGTGTATGTCTCTTGCACATATCGGATCACTGAAGAAACTAGACAAAATGGACGCTCTGCCGCCAAGTCGCTCCATCTCCGACCATCCTGGCGCGCTATGATTGGTTGATCCGTACGAAGCGTGGTCAACCCACCCCGACTCATCACAACCAGCTGACTCGATCAGATCCGGTAAAGGGTCGAAACGACACGAATGGAGCTCGCTCGCAGCTCCTCCAGCACGTCAGTGGACGGGCAGTTTGCTCCTCCGCCTCACCCGTCGAAGCGCCAGCCACCATCAGCCAGCATCGAGACGGCGCACAGCGACACGATCTACGACATTCAGCTCGATTACTACGGCAAGCGCCTGGCCACGTGCTCGTCCGACAGAACGTTGCGCGTGTACGACGTGTCCCGGACCTTCGCAGACGGCACTGGAGACAGCCACGAGTCTCTGACAGCCGCAAACAGCACTGACCACGTTCAAGAACCGACGCCGCTGCACCTTCTGCAACATGTGGTGCGTCTGGCCGACGACTCGGTCGCTCCTATCCACCGAGTGGCGTGGGCGCACCCCAAGTTTGGAGCAGTGCTGGCTCTGGCAGCTCAAGACGGAAACGTGTACATTTATCGGGAAGAGCTGGTGCAACAGGGGGCTGCTGGAACTGCTAACGTGACCGAGTGGCGTCTACAGCACGTGCACGAGTTCCACTCGCTGGCAGTGCTGAGTGTCGCGTGGGCGCCGTACGAGTACGGGCTGAGTCTCGCCACTGCCTCGGCCGATGGACACGTGTCGTTCCTTACCCGGATGCGGGAGGGGTGGGAGATCACGTCGAGCTTTCGCAATTCGGAGGAAGGCATGGGATGCACGGCGGTCAGCTGGGCACCTTACAACTCGCTCGGCTCGCATGGACCTCACGGGCCGATCCAGCGCGTGGTTACTGGATCGTGCAATCAGGCGGTTACCATATGGCATCTTGTCGTCGCCCCTCAAGAAGGGGAGCTCTCTGGCAGTTGTCACTGGGAAATCGAAACCACTCCTTTGTATGGCCACAACGACTGGGTTCGCGACGTGGCGTGGGCACCAAACGTCGGTTTACCTGCCAATGTGATTGCGTCTGGATCCGATGATCATACGGTGCGTGTTTGGACTCAGGACGAGGCCGGTGGAGAATGGTCGTCCCACGTGGTGCACACCTTTTGTGCGCCAGTGTACCGGATAAGTTGGTCACTCACAGGCTCGGTGCTCAGCGTCGCGGCTGGTGATGACGAGGTTACTGTTTGGAAGCAGCAGAAGAATCATGAATGGACACGCATTTCTTCTGTAACTGGTCAGGGCGCAGCCACTATCTCGGGCAGCTAGTTACTTACTTGACGCAGGGGCGCGCAGATGATTATCGTTGCCCCACGGCATCAAGTGTTTTTGTTGTAGATTCAATTCTACTGCGTAGATGTCCATTGCCATCACTTTCTCCTCTATTATAAGCTGATGTTGTAGCCGTAGATACACCAATTTGCATGTTACGATGTATTGTAGATGCGCATAGCGTGGGATGCGACGTCTAGCAGCTGGAAATGCTCACTAGCGCCATCCACAAGCTTTTTGTCGGCCTCAGCAATGCGCAGACAGATCGTCGCCTTTTGCGCATCACTGATCTTCTCGAGCGCGAGTACGTCGTCGTTCAGCTGCCGCAAAATTGTCAGCACTGGGTATCCTGCTAGCAAAATGCTGGTAATGTCGGCCTTCATCTTGTCAAAGCTGTTTGAAGCAACAGAAGCCCAAAACTGCTGCAGCAGCTCAGGCGGAGCAAGTCCAGCTACCGCAACGACGTCACCTTCCGACAACTCGTCATCCCCGCAGAGCTGTTTGGCACTCTGGAGGTAATTAATCGCCTTTCGCAAGTCACCGTTGGAGCACTCGAGCAGCGACTCAAGCACCGAATCCGACACACGCACGTGTTCTTCTGTCGCGATATAGCGCACACGAGTCGTCATCGAGACTTTCTCTAACGGAGCAAAGCGGAACTTGGCACATCGCGAGGCCACGGGCTCGATGATACGACTCACGTAGTTGCAAATAAGACAAAAACGCGTGACCTTTGAGTAATTCTCCATCATGCGACGCAAAGCCGACTGAGCGTCCCCTGTCATCGAGTCGGCCTCGTCTAGCACAATGATCTTAAAAGGGGGGAGGCCGCTGGCGGTACTAATGGCTCCTTGAGCGAAGCTTTTGACCTTTTCCCGCACCACTTTAATGCCCCGGTCGTCGGACGCGTTCAGCTCTAAGAAGCGACCATTCCTGCGAAAATCCGAGCCAAAGAGTTGGCGCCCCACAGCTACAATCGTGGACGTCTTTCCAGTGCCTGGAGGTCCATAGAAAAGCAAGTGGGGCAGCTGCCCATTAGCGATAGATGTCTTTAGTGTGGCCACGACGTGTTTCTGATGGGAGATCTCGTCCACATTCTTGGGTCGACTGGAGGCGAGCAACCGAGACATTAGTAGGCATGTGGTCGAGTGAGTAAGTACGAGACAAAGAGGGAGAGCGTAGTTCAAAGCACTTACTATTTCTCCACCCAGGGCAGCACGGGAGCGGGTGCGGGGGCCTTCGACGTCGACGTGGTGCTAAACATGAGCGACGATTTCCAGAAGTGGTGATTGCTTGGATGCTGCCGTTTGAAGGTGGCGTCGTACTTAACGAGGTCTCGGGAGATCAAAAGGGTGTGGATATTACTTACGATGCATTAAGTACGATTATTGTACCCAAAAGCTACAAAAGATAAACGATTTTTGTGTAGAGAAAAAAAGATGGAGATTTGTAGGGAAATAAAGTACATCAACGGCATGCATAAACAAAAGTGTTAAATATGAAAGTTAATCGGCAGTGCTATTTCGACCATGACTTCCTATCAAGCTTTATAGCTGACATAAAACCAGACCGTAAAACAGCGGCCTATAGGTATTCCGTATTCGACAATTAGGTATTCGACTACTAGTGTCAGCAGGCTGTTTGCATTTGCATCATCAACGATCGACTTTAATACAGGAACATCATCAACAACTACGCTCTCAGTGCGACGAAAGAGGTCTTATTTGACAAATCGTAATGGCAAACCGATCCGAAAGGACACGAGCTGATGAACAGATTGTGATCGCGTCAGTCGATATAATTAGAGTAATAAAAATAACAAATAGAAGCGTTAAACACAACGTATATCAATATCAAATAAATAGCCTCGGTGAACACATTTCCTATAGGTTTGCCGAGGATATTAGATACTGGATTATGGAGCTGAAGTACATCAGGAATAACACGATTAATTTCGCCAAATAAAACAAAATCATTAAACGCAAGCTATGGAAATTAAAATAGATTATCGTTATTCTACCCTTTGTTTTCTAGTAAAATTCCCTCAGTTCGATACAACGCTACATGATTGGCTATTTTATCGACATGCATTGAGGATATAACATCAGAATAATGGTTTAAAAATATCTTCTGGACCTTCTTCATCGTGGTTCGCAATCGTTCTTGTGTGCTCTTTATCGCAAAACAACGTCAAGCTTTGCCTAAACGATTGCGGATTAGAAGCTTTTACGTCCGCAGATGCTGTCAACCGCTAGTTTTCTGTTAAAGGTAGACGATTAACAACAGCAAGCAGTGTCCATCACGTTTTCGAGCGAAGGCATAGCGGAGCTACCCCAGCTCTAAAGTCAGAGGAAGACTTATGGGTTAAGCCAGAGGCTTATAGCTAACAGCCATTTAGTTCTACGGAACTAATATATCAAGTTAAAGAGTCGGCTAGTTCTACGGAACTCGGGTGGACTCTATGAGCTATTAGCTAAGACTAGTGTAGTTCTAAAGAACTACACGCCCAATATGCAAAGGGGAATACCAGAGTCTAAGGACTCGCTAACACACGACAGTTCTACGGAGCTGTCAAGCGCAATGTGCGAAAGGGGGAAGACTATGGACTTCTGCTCAAAATGAGAGCAGAGTTTATTTAGATTTTATATCAAGGAAAATCCTACTTTAAGTAACCTATTCTACTAAACTAGAACTGATTCAAATATTGATATTCGAACCTAGTGGATGGTTGGCACATCACTCAGTCATCAAATGATGACGGTACAAAGTACTTCCACGGTAATTACCGTAACTCAGAGAATAACGACTGATCGGTATTCTTTAATGATGTGTAATCTGAGGCCACACCTGTCTTCCATATCACATATGGGAGGTCTTCAACCGATTTAGCCAATGGCTAGTGTGACCCCGTTACACCCTCCCCCACCAGACTGACGTCACCACAGAACGTCACTCGACTTCTTTCCTCATTGAGTGTTACTTTGTGACTTGTCATCATGGACCGACAAAGACACCTAACGGTTTACGAGGCTTAAGCCGAGTTCCTTGGTGTTGAGGAAGTGAACGATAGCAATGGAATTGATGCCGCCACTCATGGGAAGGAGTAATCCGAACCTAGCTCATCTGTGCGTAACCGTATCTCACATCCGGCACTACATCCGTTCCCTGAACTAAGTGTCGCGACTGCGCTAACAGCGCTAGGTGCGATGCCTAGCGTGGACCCGTCCATCATCAGTAACCCACTTGTGGAGGTACAACAACGCATACTCGACCAGGCGGAAGACGCACGGCGCAAGGCAGAAATTCTGACCACATTTACAGCGACGACGTGAATACGCACTTACTCCCGCCTGATGTGGGAGAACGCATCCGTCAAACAGCTGGCCATTTTATGGCAGGGTGGGCCATTGGACTCGAGGCAAACACTCTTACCGAAGTCGAATGCCGTAAGGCTCTTCGGGAAAGGTATTTGGAACCTACTGTGATGACCTTAAGTGAGCATCGAGAAAGACTCCAGAAGCAGGCCAAAGGAACACCGGTTCCACCTGTAATGGTTATACCCGTTTATATGCCTAAGGGTGAGGACGACGTCTCAGAGGATAATGCGTTCATACGCCGGGTACATGGCGTTCAACGCCTCAGTAGTATGATACCTCTGATGCAGTGCCAGTTTGGAAGACGTTCGTCTAGAGTGAAAACTTTGCTACGACTTCGCGAAGCTAAAGGCCAAAGGCCGACTGAGGGGAATGTCTCATTACGGCTATGCTTCGGCTGCTCCTGCAGCCGCGATTTCACGTCAGTTTTTTTACACAAACCTGCCCGCTCCCACTCTGACTAGTGAGAAGCGTGGTGCTCGTCGAGAAGGGCCTCATCGTGGTGCTCAAAAACGTTCACGGCGTATGGCAGTCTTGCCAGAGTAATAACTCATACTTCCATAAGTTCTCCGACTCGGGATACTTACGTCACTTCACCAGGTAGTGGTAGTGAACATGACGACAACTTCATTGGAGAAACTTCTCAACATGGCACTGGAGGTTCCCATGCCTATCAGGCACCGCTGTTGGCGGTTTGTTTATCGGCTGAGAGCCACTCGAATCGGTCGAAAGATGTCAGTAGCCTTCGTGAGACTTTAGGTCAATTCCAGCATGCTCTTAACGAAGCGCAGTCTCGTCTAGCGATGCTTAAAGGCGATCACGCTCGTCTTCATAAGACGGAGACACGTCTGACTAGTGTTGAAGCACAGCTTGATCTCTTGATCCGGATGCAGCATCCTGTGGCAACGCCAATGTACGCTGTGCCAGCGCCCTCGAGTCAATGAGGGACGGATCCCGGTATGAATTAAGCATGCCGACATAAAAAACGGGGTGAGTACGCAATTTGCGTGGTAAGCTGAGCGTAGACTCAGGGCCCTTCTTGGCCACGCCCGTAAAAGCTCCAACAAAGCGCGGACGCAACTTCGTCTTGAAGACAGCAGACACTGTATTCGTAGGTAGGTCTTTAACATTAAGTACAACTTGGTCATCGACCTCATAACTCTCAGTACAACCTCTTCCAGCTCTATCTGCTCGTAGTTTTTGTTTATCGTGGCTTTCTTCCAGTACGTCCCGCATATGTCGTAAGACATTAAACCTTGTTGCAAGGAACTCGACAACCTGTGTTTAAACAGTGGCGGGCTGACAAAAGCGTTCCTATAAGCGATTTCCCCCCACCAAGCCCTGACTCAAGGGATGGTAGCGTTAACAGAACGCGGGGGGGGAGGGGTAGACCGTTTACATAGAGCGGCGAATAACCAGTCGAGGCATGAAACGAGTTAATCATAGCAAATTCGATTTAGTTGGGGCATGGAGCTCCAATGATGAGGCGTATAAGCGCACACGCTACGTAAAATATCACCGATAACGCGTTTAACACGCTCGTTTTGACCATCGGTCTACGGATGATTCGCTGTGGCATGTCCAATCTGGTGCCCAGCACCTTAAATACAGGCTTCCACATTTTTTTGGTAAAGCGAAGAACACTTTCACAACAATTTCCACGGGAAGACCATGTTGACAAAAGACCCGATCGAAAAACAGCTGTGCTGTACGTTCACCATCGACTGATTTAGCACAGCCGCTGAATGAGCCATCTTGATCATACGGTCAGCGAAGACCACTAAACCAGTGTTGCTGCCAAATCTTTCGGTAGGCCAAACACAAAGTCCATACTGATGGGCTCCCAACACCCATTGGGAACAAATAAACTCCCTAAAGGTGCAGTCGCGTGAGTGCAAAATTTTAACACGCTGAAACGTTTCACACGTATGTGCTCACTCATAAATACAACTGATGCCACAAACAAATAGGCGAACCGAGTCAAATATCTTTTCTCGACCGAGATGACCGCTCAAAACTGCATCATGCGCCTCAAAGAGGATACGATACTTCAGTTCCTCGTCATGAGGTATCACGATGCGCGTAGTATCCGCCGCATCCGTGCTATAGCACAAAAGACCATGATCGAACGAATATCGATATAGCCCTGCGCGTAATCTTGCCGACAACTCATTTTCCGAGTTTTTGAATTTATCACAACCTATTGCGTGTAACAACGCGACACACTAATCATCCTTGGCATAAGCCGCACGGATTAAAAAGGGACAGAAGATGACAGAATCATAACATGAGCAAGCTCATGATCCGGCCTGCGTGATAACATATCGGCCAAAGCATTTGCTTCCCTGGTTTATACTTCACCTCGAAGTTATACTCAGAGAAGAATGAAAGCCATCGGGACATACGTTGCGAGAGATGAGGCGACTGGGTCGCAGTGCCCAACGACGCATAATTTGTGTAGATTACAAACAGCTTGGAGCCAAGTAGATGTACTCTGAACTTTACAAGAGCATACTTCATTGCAAGTAACTCTTTGTCATGAACTGGATAGTTCTTTTTAGCAGCTTTTATCTGGCGAGACTCATACGCAATGACGAGCTCAAGCCTATCGACATCAATTTGCAAAAATGCACTGCCAACGGCAAAATCGGATGCGTCACAGACGACAGTGAAGGTCGCTCCGGGTCAGGCAAAGCCAAAATTGGAGCATAAAGGAGATTGATCTTAACAGCTTGAAAAGATTGAGACTGAATTGAGTCCCAACACCAAACCGCGTCCTTTTTAAGGAGGTTGGTTAATGGCCTTGCCATGTCAGCACAGTTTGAACTATACTTGTGTAAATGATTGGCTAAAGCAAGTCATGTACGCAAGTCTTTTGGTTTTTTTGGAC